ATGCCTCAAATGTGGTCAGTGTACTGAAAGTTTTTATTCTTTGTATGTATGAAATTTATATTTACTTAATAAAAATTCGTTAAAAAGTAGGTACTATATATAATTAAAATATGAAAAAACTGGGGCATACAAATTGGCCAGCTAATATACCTATTTATTTCACATTTTTAAATATATGGTGTATGTGGAATGAAAAAGTATTTTACAGGATGATACAACATTCATTTTTGTTAATATTAGCTCTTTTTTTTGTTTTAATATTAAAAATTGTAAAAAAGAATTAGTTCATTAGATAAAATCTCAAATGCAATTTGAATATCCCTTGGAGGTGATTTGACAAGGTGTTCATTTCTAAATTTATTTAAACATGTTAATAAAATGTGGGTGTTATCCAATGAAATAATTCCTATATTAATTCTTTACCATTTTAAGAATTAAAGCCTAAAAAAGAGCAAAATTGTATAATTAATTAAAAAAAAAAATGGTAGTGCTATTTGAAAAATGAATATTAGGGATGGTTTCTAGGGGAGTTGGGCATAGATGTGATTTGAGTTTGCACTGTAAAATATTGTATTTTATAAAATAACTTGGTTATTCTGGCTCAAAACCTGTGATGCCAGATATAAACTATCAAAAACTCTCCTTATTTTATAAATTTGAAACAAAAGATATAAAGGACAAGGTACTTGGGCTTTAAAAACAAAGTAAGCATTACCAATAGAATAAAAAATAAAACAAAAAAATAAGAAAAACCATGATGGGACACTACAATGAGAAAAAAATGCAAATCTTACCATCAGTAAAAGAAGTTTTTTCGGAAGATTGTTTCAAACCTTCACAATTAGTTGAAGCCTCAGAATATGTAATCAAATTGTTTTGATCAACATGCTCGAAATGTATATTATTCGAAGTTGAGGAAAGTTCATCTGGTACATGATCAAGACACAGAACTTCCGATTCTGAGAGGAATAATGTTGGATATGCTTCAACAATAAAACCTCTATAAGTTTCAGGAACTTTAAGTTTATCTTCAAAATGTTTATCACATACTAAATAGTTTTTACAAATTTGTTGTGCCGTTTTATTATTGAAAAACGGATTGCGAACAGCCAATAACCAAATTTGAAATAAATCATTATTAGGATCGGGTTCGGGAAAACGATGCCTTTTTAGAGGGTTTACAAAACAATTCGTTACACAACAATACGGCATATTTCAACTTTTAAACAAAAAATCACTACAAAAATTTAAAATAAGCTCACAATTGTCAGCACAATCAAGTAAACAAATTGAAAATTAAAAACACAATTGAACAAGACCAAGTTGACAATACAACAAACAATAATTTAGAAAATACTATTTATTCATCCAGGATTCAGGACACTCCCAAATAAAAACAATTTTACAATAATTATTGATAATATTATGATATTAATCACAATAAATGCTGGAATGGATGACAAATGACACTCCTCCCCCAACTCCCACTCTTTTTACCATCAGTTGTGGATTTCTGTAAATTATGTGTACAGCGCCCTCTAGAATTCGTTCTTTGAAACTAAAACTTAGTTTCAGTTCGGGCTATACCAGTTACCGACACCTGGGACAAATCAAGCGAGCGTAAGCGACGATGACCACCACAGCACATCTACCGAATAGTAGTGCATCTCACTTGTTAAAGAGTTAGAAATAAGTTTCTAACATCAACGCGACTGCCCAGGTACCCTATTCTCAAACTCAGGAGAGTGCTCCTACACTCACTGCTCCGTCACCAGTGTTTCCAGATGACCAAAATCAAATTGTACCATGCTGTAGAAATTATCATTTTTTTTTATGATTTCATCATACAAACTGACCTTACTAGTGTGACGTTATCGACGGCTGGTTAATTTAACAGTTTATGGGGTTAGGGTTGGGAATATTTGATAATATAATAATTTTAATAAATAAACATATAAAAAAAATAACACAATCTTTTCTTGTTTCAAAAATAATTTTTTCTCCTTGTAATCCTTTCTGACTTTGATCTTCCAATTGTTTTTGTCTATATATTTTTAAAGATGACGTGAATTTCATTTCAACTGTAGGTGTGAAACTTACACATCCATTACCCAAAGGATTCCTGCATTTTCCTTATGTAAAGTGACGACTGGTTAAATTTTATGAAAGTTTGTTATGTTATTGTACTCAACATAAGGCATTTTCGGAAACTTACTCGGATCAGAAATATTATGGATCCTATTGTTCATTTACCTATGGTTACTAACCTTATCCGTGTTCGGAAACTAGTAAATTAGTGATCCAGCTTTGTGATCGAGATCAATATTTTGTGACTATAAGCAATTATTTTTTTTAAATATCTAAAGGCTGAAAATTGGTTTTAAAACACATTTTTGCTAAACCGATTCAAATTAATAAATATTTGCCAGGCAATATGGCCGCTCGCAAACGATCACCTTTGAGCAATCTATACAACTATATATGTATGATTGACCCTGTTAACGACAACATGACAACAGGGTTGCCATATCTAAACTGTCAGTCCCCACTGGTAGCCATTTGGACAGGTCGTTGGAATGCCTAATAGGCTCAACAAGGGCTCAAATCAATCATATGACGGGTTTTCGATTACTTAGATTTTCGAAATTACGAGATAGAAGATTTAATTTTTCTTGCATACACACGTTTACTAGGTATATGTTTTATTATTACATTAGTAAGTACCTATGTACAGTTAAAAATATTTTTGGTTACAAGAAGATTCACAATGCATAAAAAATTTTACTGTCGTCAGAGAAGCATATTTTAAAAAAATAAAAGAATATACAATACACATTTCTTATACAGTGAACGGTGAATTTGTGGATAAATTGTATTCTAAAGTTTTCTTGATAAAATGTAACCATTTTTTTAATATATAATGGTTTTATCACCTTTTTATGAGATGTAAATTTTAAATTCGGGATTGAAGTGGGGAATTGCTGATTTGAGTTATTTTTTCTTCAAACTGAAAAGCTAAATTGACTTTATGTAACATATAATATAATATATATAATATAAGTTTTGGTCAGATGTCCATAAAAAGAGACAGTTCAAAATATTTACTGTTACAGGACGATTCACCAATCAATGACACTATATTTTTGCAACTTTATTGTCCCATGTATAAGGCATATAAGCCGCCTTGTAAATTTTATAGCTAAGTACAAATATATATTTTAGTGGCATTACCTTTCCCAAAAATCAAAAACTTCTCTAATGAAAAATGGCTGCATGGTTACGCCACTGACGCCAGGTAAAAAGTACTACTCAATATGGTATTTTAGTATATTGCATGGTACAGATTTCTTATACAGGGTGTTTTGAAGTGGAAACCATATAAAATTATTTGTTAAGGACTAATTCAAAACCCTATACTTATTAATTCCTCGTCTGCCTATCCATTCTCCAAAATGATCATTAAGGTACCATTTGGGTAGGCGCGTCAGGAGACAAGCGACCACTGAACCGACCCCAAGGTCGAGTAAGACAACAGGTGCATAAATGTTACGCTTCGTACATTTGGCAAGCTTGAAGTGTCGCGCGAAATTTACAGGAATAACCATTCGAGGGAACAGTCAGCATTGCCAGACCTACCGTTTTCACGTAGATCTACTGTTTTTGTCTCTAGCAAATTTTGTTCTTAATTTATTAAGTTTGCCTCATTCTTCAGCAAATGGGTATAGAATATTTTCTCTAGTAAATTTTCTGCAGTAAAAGCAGCGTAATAAGCATCCACTACTGTAGGTTGGCTCCATAAAAAAAATATCAAGATATTCATTGTTTTTATTTAAAATGAAACAAAGAATTAATAGGACATCATAAAAAGAACATGCATATGCCAAACACTACGATTTTGAATTATCTAATTCAGACTGATCTAAAAGAAGTAGGTACTTATTATTTTTCATTGTTTTTTTCCCGTACGTTAAGTATATATTATATATGTTTTTATTCTTTGTTTACTTTCTAATTTGGGTAGAAAAAAGTTTATTTTTCGTTTGTTATATACTTGTTTTTTTTATTTACTACACTGCAAATTATAATTATTTCCCCTTTATTAAAATCTACTGTTCAGATCTACGTTTTTTTTTTTATCCATACTGTTTCAAAATCTGGCAACGCTGCCTAGATCGAAAGAATCTAATCACCCCCAAAAAGAAGCGGTGCCGAGGACAGTGACCCCGAGTGCGACATGCAGCAAAGCGTTGCCCCGAGAAGTGTCGACAGGAAGTGTTAGGCCGTGCGAAATGTGTTTCATATAATTGTATATATTTTAGATGTGAAGTGACACTTCTTGGTCGCGTCGGCGGTCGTATGTCGCGTCGGCGCTCGTCTGTCGCGCCTACCGAAATGGTACCTTTAAGTAACTCCCGCACACATAACGCGTAGTGCGGCGAAGCTTCATCCTGCATGAAATGACGGATGTTCGCGAGTGTTGAATCGTTGTCCATTTGCCCACGTAAATCTTCGAGCATGCATTTCCAGATAACTTTGGCCAGACTTATGCCGATTTTTCGAGCGTTGCCAAACTTATGCCGACCCCTGTATTTAACAAAAAATGATTTTTCTGTTAATAGCCAAAGGTGAATCATTATAATTATTCTGCATTACATTTATTTGACATTCCTTTTTTTAAAGAATTTTTTATTTCATGCATTCTATCACGTTAAAGCAAGAAAAAACCATTCTACTGGGTGATACTAAATACTCTATATAAGTTAAGTTTATTTTAAAGAATGACCCACAAAAATGTTTGGTATGCCATAACCGACAAAGACAGAGATGTGAGTGATGTTCTTACAAAAAAGAATCGAACCCTGCGACATGCGTGAATTTTTCTTACTCTACCAATATTTTTTGTGGATTACTCCATTATAAGCATGGTGAATTTGTGAAAGATATTAAAAAACATACGGTTTACTTTTAATACGATATAATAAATAAAAAAACATACATTAATTATTGATTAACAAAAACGTTAACATAAAAATAAAATTGTATAGTCCACTATATTCTTAACCTTTTCAATCCTAGGTTAACTCCATCGGCAGGATAAACATTAAAATGCCTTTTTGATAATGTCATGGGGATCAATGTTTCCTTAACAGGTACTATTTCAAAACTTAATAACAAATGAGCAAAAAAGATCTTAGCTTCCATTAAGGCAAACCTTGAACCTATACAAATCCTTGGGCCCAATCCAAATGGATAGTAAGTATATGGATCAATTTTGTTCTTATTTTCATCGCTGAATCTCTCTGGGTCGAAACGTTCAGGATTTGGGAAATATTTAGGATCATATTGCATACTAATTATTGGCATTTCTATAAGAGTTCCCTTTTCAATTAATACAGGTTTTTCGCCTGGTAATTCTGGTTCAATAATAAAGTCTTTAGTACAAACACGACTAGTATTTGGAAAGTTGGGCCATTTTCTCAAACATTCTGAAATAGAAGTAATTAAAATTAGTTCATGATAAAAATTATAAAAAAATCTTGCATGTCGATTGCATTGATCAAAAGTGGATGCAAAAAAATGTTCTAATATTGAATATTTTCCAAAAAACGTTTTGTGTATCTACACCAAGAGATTTTCGTATCAATTATTTTGATTTTCCGTGATGTGATTCATCCTTAACTTGATCTAATTTAATTTGTTATGAATTAAATATTCACAATTTATTTTTCTTACGACCAGTTAAGAAAGTGATATATATCGCGCACTATTAAGTCATACGGGAAGTGCCCGATATCACACTCTTGTGGATAAGAACCTATTTTCCACCCGTGTGTGAATATCTAATTTCCGCATCAGCTGTCAGATGTGTCAAACGTGTAATTTCTATTTTGATCGATCTACTGTCCATATTAATAGTAAAATAGATTTGATGATTAAATAGTGAATACTAATAAATACTACTAAATTTGCAAAACTGAAAAATTGAAAACTAAAATATTTTAAAATGTTTGGTTTGTTATCACCCCTTGGATTCTGCAATTTATTCCTCTAAAATATTTTATGTAAAATTAGTTTTTTACGTACCTGAGATAACCATATCTAAGTATTTCATCTTAAACAGCGTTTCATAGTCCCATTTTCCTTTACATTCTTGGAAAGCTTCTACTATTTCCTCTCTTAATGTCTTCTGAATTTCTGGATTGATAGCTAATTCATATGCAGTAAAAGTTATCAGCGAAGATACTGATTCAAAACCAGCAAAAAAGAATATTAGTGCATGTGCAATAATGTCAGTATTTGTGATTCCTAAAAAATAACAAAAATATTAAACCTATGAACTTGCTTGCTCGCCATCTTTTTTATACACACGCATTGCTACAATTCTCAATAAATATGTAATTCTCACCAAAGCAATTTATTATTGTTGGAAAAAGTATTCGAATAATTTAATTAAAGAATATTTCTCCATTGTGTAAGTGTTAATTTTTTGTTCATTTATAGCTGCTTTATATTAGAATTTTTTTATTTATTTGTTACAATGCTCTACAGGCAATCCCAATTACAGAGCAGAAATAAAAGAACACATACATTCTGTAGACTAAGTGGTACATAATATACAAAAATTTGTAATCAGCTAGTAGGTACAATACAATATAATACAATTCTATTTTTTTTTTTTTTAATTAAGAAATTATATTTTCCTAAGTTTGCATGAGAAGATGTCAATGTCACTACTCACACTATTATCAACGCGGCTAATAGTATAAAATGGAAAATTTTTCAGAACATTTGTGCGAGGTACAGATATGTGAAATATGTCAGAATTTCTAGAGGATACTCTCGGAATGAAGGTATCAATTTTTCTCAACAATTCAGGAGAATCAATTAAACCGTTAACAATTTTAATATCTAACATATAACAATGGTATTCACGTCTTTTTATGATGCTTAAAAAGAGATATCTTTGAAGAAAATTTTGGTGTGGTACTTCGATTGGCGGATAAACACCATCCTCCTTTAAAGACAGTAATTTTAGAAACCGCCTTTGAACTGTTTCAATTCGATCCGTGTGAAGTTGGTAAAATGGATGCCAGACGACAGACGCAAGCTTTGATCTTATAAGAGACTAATATAACATTTTTAATGTGGCTACATCTTTGAAATCATTTTATCGATGTGGCATATAAAGGTCAATCCGGGATCAAAAAACCCCAAGATCTGTAAAAGTATCTGGTCGCTGAAGTGAGACATCTATTAAATAATTATATTTTATTTGATTGGTTTTTAAAGTAAAAGACATAACTTTACATTTAATTGGGTTAAGTTTAAGTTTATTATTATTATTACACCATTCAACCACTAGATTTAAGTTCATGTGAAATTGTTCACAGTCGCCAATACTTGTTACACGCTTGTACAATTTTCAATCATCTGCATACAGTACAAACTGTTCTTTAATTACATTCGAGATATCATTGATGAAAATATTAAATAGTAACGGGCCCAGAATGGAACCCCGAGGAACTCCAGATGTTGTTGCAAATTTGACAGACTTAAACCCATTAAGCTGTACAAACTGAGTACGATTTACTAAATAGCACTGAAAGAGATTTATCAAAGAGGGGGACAACCCAAACCCTGTAAGTTTTTCATGAAGAATACCGTGGTCAAGTCTATCAAATGCCTTGGAGAAATCTGTGTAGTTGACATCCGTCTGGGCGTGCTCATCAATAGATTCTGATTGCTATTGTGTGACGGTAGCCAGGTTGGTGACTGTTGAGCGACCTTTCATAAACCCATGTTGATTAACTGATAGAATTTTACTGACAATGATATAAAGTCTTCTCCAATAAAATTTTAAATATTTTGGATAAATTGCATATTATGGATATTAATTTGTAATTGGTTATATCTCTTTTATCCCCCTTTTTGAAAACTGGACATACTTTTGAGGTCTTCCAAATATCTGAAACTGTTGATGTCCTAAGTCATATATTTATAAGGGTGGCTAAGGAAGGAGCAAGTTAAAAGGCACAATCCTTTAAAATAAAAGCTGGAATAGGGACTGGACCAGTTGTCTTTTTAGGTTTAATTGACTTTAGAGCTTCATGTACCTCTTTTTCGGTAAAACTATTGACATTAAGGAACGGAACATTGAGTCGTGAATTTGAATTAGCAATAAACGGGCTACAGGTAATATATGACTGTTTGAAGAAGTCAGCAATTTCATTGAGAATGTCTAATAGAGTTTTTAGTGAATTGTTGTCATAAGACATTATTTGAGGGGATTTGGATTGTGATTTCTTACTATTTATAAATGTCCAAAATTTACTTGCATTAATAGATATCTCTTGTTCAATCTTTTTATTATATGCTCTGTAAGAAATGTCTATTTAAAATTTTAAAGCAGCTGTTGATCCCTGGTAAGAAATTTGTAAATAACTGCGCTTGCGTCACGATCATTTTCAATCAGCTGTTGCCACATACTTTGATTACTATACGGTGTAAGAAAAAGGTCCGACACGCCTAAAATAGGGCGCGGCCATTTTGATTCCTATGCCACAGTTTATAGCTAAAGAATCAGATCGCTCACTCTGCGTCGGCACTTTTGATCTCAATGTTCCAGTTTATACACTGCGCAACTCAAATAATACAATATATGACAACCGCCTATTAAAACAGCAGTCTTCTGCGTATCCTGAATTTGTATTCCTGGAGTGGATGTTATTTTGGAACTTTCAACTGGTCCGAGTGAGCTAACTGATTCTTTAGCAATAAACTGTGACTCCAAAAATAATATCCACTGACATTGACAGCAGCAAGCAAAATATCAGGTGCATTTTAATCATCCGCTTCTGTTTCCGGAATTGTCGGTTTAGTCGTTTAAACCTGTCAGATTAAAACAAGAAAACCGAAAATTCCGAAGCAGAAGCGGATGATTAAAACGCACCTATTAAAAATATTGTGCCAAGATGTAGGTAACACGAGGGCAACACGTAATAAGGGATCAAAATGGCGGATTTTTCTATCTCCTTTTAAAAAGAAAGCTGCGAAGTGCGACCATTCTCCGTATAGTAAAAGAAAATCAAAGTATGTGACTGATCGTAATATGTTGCCATGAAAGACATCGAGAAAATTAACAGGCCAATCAAATAAGTTGATGAAGCTGAAATAACTCCATGCTTGGTCCTTAAACTTTCTGCATTGTTGCTAAGGTACTAATCAAGGTGTATATCAAAGAATTATTACAGAGTTACACAAAATACGAGCGTCCGTTTCCCTTTGGAGAACTACTTCGTTTGCTAATACCGCAACAGGTACTGAATTATATCCAAAGGAAATACAGTAGAGATACAACTTTAATTTCAACATTCTATCTTAAATTATCTCCTAATCCTAATGAATAGCTAGATTATTAGTCGTTGGTCCTACAATCATAATAGTCCAATTTTTGCTACTGCGTCAACTGTTTTATTGCCCTATACTTTATTATGCCACAGAGTTATAAATCAGAAACAATTCAGTCGGAGCTCAGAACTCCCTTTCACACAAGTAACTCTTCTTGTAATAAATATCCAAACAAGACTTAATGATATTTCAATAATGGGATGACTCCAGATCTTTCTCCTTTGCCAGGTATCAAATCAACGATACACCGAGTGGTGCACACTCGTACTCGTGTTAATAAATGATTTGAAACTTACCGTTGTCTACTTTTTGATTATGTCCATTTTTAGCCTCCATCAAAAGATGTATCATATCTGGACGAACAATTCCCTGTTCTTCCCGAAGTTTCAGATTATTTACAATAAGGTCAGTGAAAAACTGACGTGATGGGTTTTCAAAGACATTTACTTTGAAGTACTAAAAAATAATACATTAAACTCATAGGTAGTACAAGACTTTTGCCGAATTTTTTTAGATACTTGAATTTATAGATGCAGAGAAGAATGATTTAACAACTTAAATGATTCTGGACTGGTAAGAGTCAGTCTTTAATTGATTTGTAAAGTTTAAATGAACAGAATAAGAATAAAAATGTAAAAGATATAAAATAAATTATTATATTGAACTGTTGCATAACGTTCCATGAAATTCAGATATGTTTTTATAGTGGATTGGCGTAGCACAAACAATCGTTCATGAGCATATCATCGAACACATGTTTGCGCTGGATACCTAATTTTTGCCAAAGGCTATTCATGAAACCAGATTAGAATGGTGTAATTATAAATTATATTGAATAAAAGTACGAAAATAGTAGTGCAACAAGAGTGAATCAGATTAGAATGGTGTAATTATAAATTATATTGAATAAAAGTACGAACATCGTAGTGCAACAAGAGTGAATATTATAGCCTTATACTTATAATCTATTTTAGCTATACAATAGTATATTTTTACGACTAACTAACAAAAATGTACAAAATTTTAAAAATGAATTTAGAGATTATTAAAATAAAGTAACTATTTTAAAGATAATAAACACATAAATTTTAAATCGTGAATTTTAGCAATAATAAAATTAAATAAAGTAATAATAGTATAAAAAAAATACCAATCTGATACGCCACATATCCACCTGGAATCATGAACTTATTTGTCCTTGTTTAATGTCATTTAATGTCTACTTTATAAATTTTATATAAAATGTTTCCTTTAATATAGAATTTTTGGAATGTATATTTTAAAAATAAATGTAACTAATAATAACAATAATAATAATTCATGTATTGTTATTTATTTTTCTCTTTGACAAGTCTCATGCCTAAATAGGTTTTTTGCATTTAAAAATATAAATTTTAAATTTGCTAAATGAATAAAGAATTGAATTTAATAAAAAGTATTTTAAATTTTAACTGGAAAAGACTTTTTTAAATTTGATATTTATACGAATTATTCTTTAGAATATTTAATTATAAATCAACCTGTAAATCTTGGTTCTGTCAACAGACCATTCTTTCAAACCTCTATAAATTAAATTTCTTTGAAATATGTGTTAAATTATTTATTTTTTACTCACCTTAGTTGATTCTGGAAAAATGAAGGCACGAGCAAAGTCAAGTGTTTTCTTTAGTGAAAAAAAATCTGTAATTTGTGTACCCATTTTGTAAAATTCGTTATTTGGCTCATCTAAAGAATCAACTTTTACACCAAAAGCAGTTGTTGCTATGACATCGTTACCAAAACGAGTTGAAATATTTTTCATATCTACTTTGATAATGTCTTGATTATATTTTGAAAAATAGTTCATTAAGCTTTCCGCACATTCGTCCATTAACGTAAACATTGTTTTCATTTTGTTGCTTGTAAAGGTAGGACTGAGAACTGGTCTAATATCTTTCCATTGTTGACCTGAAATAATTGTTATTTAGAGATATTTTTAACCGACTTCAAAAAAGGAGGAGGTTCTCAATTCGACATAATATTTTTTTAAGTATGTTCAGCGATAATTCTTTAACACGGTGTCCGATTTCAATGATTCTTTTTTGTTAGAAAGGGGGTACTTCATATAAATTTGGTCAAAATCTAATAATTGAGTCCATGAGAAAATCCTCAAACTATTAATTTTTTTGTATGTTTATCGATAATTTTTACTACCTTGTCCGATTTCTATAATTTTTTTGTTAGTAAGGGGTTATCTCAAGGATGGTCCCATATAAATTTGGTCAAGATGTGCTGATGGCATCTGCACGATTTTGAAGTCGGTTTTTTAAAATTTCTTTTAATACTTGTTATTTATTATTAATAATTATTTTTATCATATTTGTTATAAATAACTGGAATTAGGTAAATAATTAACTACGCCTTACCTTCTAATGCTATTAAATTTCTACCCCAAAAAGGATCACTATCTGGTGGTACGATTCGTCTGTGATCAGTAAAGTGATCAAATTCTTTAACAGTTACTTGCTTTATCAGTTTTGGATCCTTTATCATCAAAGTTGGTAAATTGAAATTATAAAATCCAAAGTACCTAAAAAAAATAGGAACCTACAGTATTGGTCATTTACGCAATGGTTTTCGCACTTTTTATATTCATTTTAGGTAACGTCAGAATTTGTTCGAATTTTTCATTAAAGCCAACTTTCTTATGGACACCAAGTTTACAGTTTTTAAAAGAAGTTCAAAGTACACTGTAATAGACTCAGCTAAACAGTTTATTTGAAAATTAGTATCTGGAACAGTTAAAAAAAATGACTTATATTATTTAAATTTGATACATAAACCGTGTAACAATTTCAGATAAATAAGTTTAAGTGTTATTCCAATTAATATATCCCGATGCGGTTTTCACTTTCACTAAAGACTTAAGTAGGAAAAAATAGTTTGCCTTTAGACAAAAATTAAATTGTTTCGTCCTACGCCACAAAAAATAAAACGGTACAGAGAAGAAAAGCAAAAAATATATTATCTTAATGAGACTTGGATTAACGCAAGCCACACCAAATTAAAAGTATGTTTCGATATGTCGGTTTTTTCAACCAGACAAGCCTTTTTGGATGAACTTTTAACTGGTTTTAAAAACCCATCAGGTATGTGCGTAAAAACAGCTCATTATATGCCATATTGGAAGTGAAGAAGGCTTTGTCTCTAATGCACTTTATGTATTTGAGTTGAAAAATCCGGTGACTACCATGAAGAAATGTGTGGAGAATCGTTCAAAGAGTGGTTTTCAAACACCCTACCAAAATTAGAAGATAACTGCATTATTATTCGAGAAAGCTGGAAAAAATATCTACAAAGTCTAAAAAGGTGATATTTAAAAATGGCTATAAGGGAAAAAAATTGAATTCGACTACCAAATGCTTAAGATCCAACTTCTAAAATTTGGTAAGCAACATAAACATTATGATAGGTATGTATTAGATGAAATGGCTAAGCAGTAAAACAACATAATACTTCACATGTCTCCGTATCATTGTGAACTTAACCCTATTGAATTAATCTAGGTTAACGTTAAACAATACGTAGCAGATAAAAACTCAACATTTAAATCTGGAGACATTAAAATTCTTTTTGAAGAAGTAATATTATTAATTTCTCCAGAAAAATGGAAAAAGTGTATCGACCATGTTCGCCAAAAAGTTGAAGTAAAAATGTGGGAGTTGGATAATATTATAGAGGTTCAGGTAGAACCACTTGTAATTTTGATTAATGAAGATAGCCTTTCAAGTCTAACTAATTTATCCGATTCAGAATAGTGCTAAGTCAAGTAAGGAAGATTGTTATAATACAGGGTACAAGTTGTCTAATCTAAATACTAGTAGAACAAGAACAATAAAGAACAAAAGTTATCAAAAATACAAAAGGTTTCTTTTTAAGATGCACAAATTTAAATCAAATACTAAATTCAAATACCAAATACCTCTTATATTTAAAGTTTTTTTAATGCTTTTAGTAGATATATATTAGCTATTAAAGAATTTGCAATTATTTGGACACCCTGTACAATATAATTTTATAATATGATTGTTTTAATGCTCTGTATCACAGTAGACATATGTAATAAACTAAATATAATGCAACCATCTCTTTTAAAGTCAAATACATTTATTAATTTGTATTGCAGGTTAACGCAGTTTATGTCGCTCACCTATCTTCGTTCAGAAATGTCACTAAAGTCTGGGAGACCGTGTATGGCATTTATTTTATAGTTTTACTTTACAAAATATGTTTTTATCGTAATAAAAAAATAATTTCACAATTACACTTTTATTTTACATTTTTGCAAGACGGAAAAGTAAAATACGGCCCTGCTCAATTTTAGCGTCCACCTGCTTCTGTTTACATTAGGCGTAAATTAAATTTGAATAGACTTTAGTATCATTTTAATAGATTTACCTCGCGAGCGTACCATTTTCTTTATATTCAACTCGAGAGGCAACTTTCTTTAAAATAATTGTGTATTCAAAACTAAGACGAGGTTATTTAATTGGTCAAGTGAAAATTACCACATAAAAAACTTTTCCATTGTTAAAGTTTTTAAATATACAAAACCGAAAAAAATATATACTAATATGTGCTTACCTAGAATTCGGATCCATATTATAAATTCTATGGAAGAAATCAACAATATTCTCTTTTCTGAACATTCTTTTTTGATTATCTCCAAACCACCAAACCGGATTTGATTGTTTCACTCCCCTTTCTTTCCAATAACTCATGGGCCGTATTCCATAATAGTAAAATATAAATAAACCCACAAGACCTAACAAAATCAGCGAGAGAACCATTGTTGTAATGTTCCAATATGAAACTAATCTGGAATAAATAATTTGTAAACAACTTTTTTTTCATCTAAAATATCCAACTACTTTAATCAATTTATTCATAATTAAGCCCTTATTTATTGTAAATATTTAGATTGTGTTTTATGTTAGGCAATAGTGAGACGCCTACTAAATTGAGTGGGGATGATTTGTGCGAGCTTATCTATCTGAGGTACGAGCACGCGTTTTATGAATGACCTAGCTCGTACATCTATGATATAAATGGTGTACTTTCATGTAAATTAATAATAGTTGCAACGAGAAAAAGACATTAAACATATGATAAGAGAATGCAAATGTACTGCCTTAATGTAATTTTGAAAGCTTTTTAAAGCATTATGTTAAAAGTCAATTCCGAATTATAACTATATATAACTCTTGCAACAAGTCTTTCCGGTATTCTCCCCCTGTCAACTACGTGGATAAAACTGTGAATGCTTGTCAGAAGTTTTTAGTCGTTAAAAATATCTAAAATATAACTGCCATGCAATAGTTAATAAACTTATATTTATAAAATATATTTTTTAATCCTTTAAGCCTTAAAGCTTCTTATTTCACCTTAACCTTTATTTTTTTATTTATTTATTAAAAGTGAATCCTTAGTTGATACTTTTTCTAACTGTGTATAGAAGTCGTTAAAATAAACATCTTTTTTAAATAACTTCTTCAGAAAACTCAAAAATAAAGATACAGAATTAAAAAATCTAAATCCGGCATTGGACTTGTGTATCCTAAATTAGGTTAAATGAAGAGTTTGTTTGTTTTTATCTGTTTTATTTAAATTATTTTGTCATTGGAATTTCTTCAAATTTGGATTAGCAGTACACAAAAATTTTCACCGTAGTTTAACCTTTTAAAAAATTTACTGATTTCAGATATCTTTTGTTTTTTTTTTTTTTAAAAAAAAAAAAAAATTTGTCGTGGGTTAAATTAATGTTTAGGCTGTTAAATTTATGACATCTTAACGCAAAAACTATAAAATAAATAACTCTTAACTGACAGTTAACAAAGTAAGTAATCTTTTAATTCCAAAAGCAACTTAATAATATTTCATTTTTAATAAAATTAAACCCGATGAATCTCGTGCCAAAACTTTTAAGACATACGTTATTAATAATTTAAGAAATACTTTTATTTAAATTTAACTATCTCAAAAATATTTTACAAGTTACTCACCTAAAAACAATGAATTTTGCTTTAGTCCAAAGTCGTGTACAATATGTAATCGTCTGTTGGGATGCTACAACAAAAAATACCAATATCAAAATTCAAAATATTTCAAAAGAAGATTTTAGAAATAATATACAATAAAAAATAAATATCCAATAGATGCATTCTTCGAGGAAGTAAAAATAATACTCAATTATAATTCCCACCAATTAATTATTAACCCTTATTACGAGAGGTCCTTCTGAAACCTTAGGAATACGCTTTTTACTCTATGGAATAATAACTATTATTATGTGTTCAAAAATGACAAGCACGAAGTAATTGCAGTAGCCGAAAAAATGTGCCCCAAAAAGGTAAATTTATTTAAAACTGTCAGCACAGTTTAAAACTGTGCTGTCAGTTTGTCAGCAAACACCGTTGCTCAGAGAAAATATCCCAACTGTCTGACAAAAATGGATATTTTGAGTGGTTGTCTCTGGCCTTGGATGAATCAACGGATGTGTCAGATCACAGGTGTTGATTTTTATTCGAGGAGTAGATTAAAACTATGGAGTGTATGGATAGTACTCATGGCATGACTACTGGGAAAGATATTTTTAAGGGAGGCAAGAACATGTGTGGTAAAAATAAAGGAGTATGTCCAAGGCTGTAGAAAATGATGGTGGTTCAAAACCATTAGTCTTACATTGTATCATTCATCAACAGTCCTTGTGCGGAAAATATTTGGACATGTCTGAAGTTCTAAAACCAGTCATATCAGTTGTTAATTTCAGCAGATCCACTGAGCGAATCATCGACAATTACGTGAGTTTATTAAAGAGATGGGAGAAAATGACTTAGTATATCATACTGCCGTACGCTGGCTTAGTTGCGGAAAAGTCCTTCAGCACTTTTCTGAACTTCGAGCAGGATTAAAATTTTTTTGAATGAAAAGCATCACCCTCTTACCGAATCACGAAATAGCGAATGACTGTGGAAGCTAGCATTCTATATCGATTTGACAAAAAATCTAAACGAACTAAGGTTGACACCTTTTCATTTCTCAAACCCCAGACCTTTGTTTGTGAAAGGAATGTCCTTAGCTTATAATTTTATTAACCAGGTTTTTATGGTTGAGCTTCTAAAAAAAATAAGTTCCTTAGCTTATAATTTTATAAACCAGGTCCTTCTGTCGAGCTTCTAAAAAAGTTATTTAGATATTCCCGGACATTTTCATCATGTGACCAGACACCGAAAACCTAGACAGTCCAGGTAAAACCCGTACAGGTGGCATTTTTAGAACGAACTGAATTTTAGATTGCAAGGAGAAAACCAGATTTTCCCTGATTTATGTACTAATATCAAATCGTTCCGGCAGAAAATAATAATGTTTCAATCACAATTATGTAAAAAATGTTTCATACATTTTAAAACATGTGAAATATTCAGCCACGCTACTAAGACTGAGTTTCCCGTCGAAGCTTATAGTGCTTTGAAGATAAATTTTGATACTTGTTTCTTAGACTTTGATGTCATTTATATTGACATTAAAACCCTAGCACCGGAACTTCAAATATAAATTATTGATTTACAGTACAGTGATATAATTAAGAACAAATATCAAAACTTATCTTTGTTGAAATTTTATAAGTCTTCCACTGGTACAATTTGATATATTGCATGAATTTATTCGTGGGCTGTTTTCTTTTTTTGACACTACTTACTTGTCTATGAAGTACACAAATAATGTTTACAGATCTAAGTTAACCGATGAGCATCTTAAATCTTTTTTAATAATTTCTACAAGTAATTGGCCCACAACTACAAACTATTGTCAGTAGAAAATCACAATTACATATCTCATTAGTATTTTTTACAACTGGACAGCCCGCGGTTCCATTCGCGTTAATTTAGCTTTTCCGTTTTCAGGATAAAAATCATATATGTGATTCAGGATATATTCATTTCAAACGTCGATATACATAAACGATACTGTTTACCCCAACATAACTATGGAGGGTGAAACCGCGGGATGTACACTAATTTATAATGTTAATGGGATCTAGTTAAATTATTTGTTAATTGTTATGCCTAAGTTAAATTTTCTGTGTATTATGCTTGTCATTAAGCTATACCTAGCAAGTAAATAAATCAAAGTTATTATCATTCTGATTTTTTTATCACAGCAACAATAGCCATTAGCTATCCCGGACCAGATTGATGACACTGGCGGGCCGGATTTTGCCCGCGGGCCGTAGTTTGTAGACCCCTGTTCTAGAATGTATATAATATCCAAATATTCTACTTCCACACAGATATTATTTAATTAATTTATATCTTCTCCTTAATATTTAACTATTATACTTAAACAATTTATTGTAGTAAAATTTATTTTCTGTATACCGGGAGTCCCGTAAATATCTGTTCTATTTATTTTTCTCTCTTTATTATTTAACTACGGTATTTAATTAGTTTTGTTTATTGGAAAAATTATATTCTGTATACAGGGAGGGTCGTAAATTTTCGTATTAATTATTGTTAGCTTTTTCATTATTTAGCCATGGTATTTAAATAATTCTATTTATTGAAAAATTTAGTTTCTGTATACAGGGAGCCTCACAGGGGGTGCCGATACCGTGTCCGAGGTGTTAATATTTTTTTTTTGTAAATATATTTTGTTAATAATCCCTGTGTTTCTTTTCATTTACTATCAAAGCTTTTAACCGTTTTATTTTAGGGTACCGCAGGGTACGAGGTCTAAGGGAGATCAGTATCTTTAATTATAATTTAGTGGCTACCTTGTAAGCAGTGACCGCTCGTACGTACTTTTAACTCTAATGAGTTTATCTTGAGTACACTCTGGTATACTAGAGAGCCGCACAGCAAACTGTGTTACCAAAAACTGGTGCCCGAGAAGCCCTTAATTTGCATGTACCACCTTAACGCCATACACACTTCCTACTTCACTGTAGGTGAAGCCAAAAGCCTGGAACACTGTATAAAATAAACCAGTTCTAGCACCACTATTCGTTAGCTTGATATCTAATAAGTCTGTAGTTTAAACAATTTTGCAATCATTGCTTATGATAATTTAATTTGGGATCTGCATCATTCCCTAATTTCAGAAAAAAATTAATTGCCTGGCAACCCTGTAATATTTTTAAAAAACATTCAAGGGTTCAATATAGTATTACCAGACTACTCTAAAATTTAAATAAAATACAGGGTGTTCTATTTACATTTTTATTTGCCAGGCAAAAATTTACGTTTTTACTTTCCTATCTGTATACAGATATAAGGAAAGTATAGGAATCATGATTTTTTTCGACCTCGAGTTTTCGACGGATTTTTACGTTTTGAGGTCCCCTGAATCCGTTTTGACTATTTTCGCGATGATGTCTGTGTGTGTGTGTGTGTGTGTGTGTGTGTGTGTGTGTGTGTGTGTGTGTGTGTGTGTGTGTGTGTGTGTGTGTGTGTGTGTGTGTGTGTGTGTGTGTGTGTGTGTGTGTGTGTGTGTGTGTGTGTGTGTGTGTGTGTGTGTGTGTGTGTGTGTGTGTGTGTGTGTGTGTGTGTGTGTGTGTGTGTGTGTGTGTGTGTGTGTGTGTGTGTGTGTGTGTGTGTGTGTGTGTGTGTGTGTGTGTGTGTGTGTGTGTGTGTGTGTGTGTGTGTGTGTGTGTGTGTGTGTGTGTGTGTGTGTGTGTGTGTGTGTGTGTGTGTGTGTGTGTGTGTGTGTGTGTGTGTGTGTGTGTGTGTGTGTGTGTGTGTGTGTGTGTGTGTGTGTGTGTGTGTGTGTGTGTGTGTGTGTGTGTGTGTGTGTGTGTGTGTGTGTGTGTGTGTGTGTGTGTGTGTGTGTGTGTGTGTGTGTGTGTGTGTGTGTGTGTGTGTGTGTGTGTGTGTGTGTGTGTGTGTGTGTGTGTGTGTGTGTGTGTGTGTGTGTGTGTGTGTGTGTGTGTGTGTGTGTGTGTGTGTGTGTGTGTGTGTGTGTGTGTGTGTGTGTGTGTGTGTGTGTGTGTGTGTGTGTGTGTGTGTGTGTGTGTGTGTGTGTGTGTGTGTGTGTGTGTGTGTGTGTGTGTGTGTGTGTGTGTGTGTGTGTGTGTGTGTGTGTGTGTGTGTGTGTGTGTGTGTGTGTGTGTGTGTGTGTGTGTGTGTGTGTGTGTGTGTGTGTGTGTGTGTGTGTGTGTGTGTGTGTGTGTGTGTGTGTGTGTGTGTGTGTGTGTGTGTGTGTGTGTGTGTGTGTGTGTGTGTGTGTGTGTGTGTGTGTGTGTGTGTGTGTGTGTGTGTGTGTGTGTGTGTGTGTGTGTGTGTGTGTGTGTGTGTGTGTGTGTGTGTGTGTGTGTGTGTGTGTGTGTGTGTGTGTGTGTGTGTGTGTGTGTGTGTGTGTGTGTGTGTGTGTGTGTGTGTGTGTGTGTGTGTGTGTGTGTGTGTGTGTGTGTGTGTGTGTGTGTGTGTGTGTGTGTGTGTGTGTGTGTGTGTGTGTGTGTGTGTGTGTGTGTGTGTGTGTGTGTGTGTGTGTGTGTGTGTGTGTGTGTGTGTGTGTGTGTGTGTGTGTGTGTGTGTGTGTGTGTGTGTGTGTGTGTGTGTGTCTGTGTGTGTGTGTGTCTGTGTGTGTGTGTGTGTGTGTGTGTCTGTATAACGCATAACTCATGAACGGATACACAGAAATACACCAAATTTTAAACTTAAGCTTTGTTCCAGCGTCTTATGAGCTGATTAGATTTTGGGCAGAGTCGGAACATCTGGGGGGGTACTTTATAGGTGGTCATTTTTATATTTTATGGAATATATCTGTTATTTACGTGTGAGTAAGAAAATTCTTCAAATGAAAGTTACTTCTTATTTTATTATCTATAATTTTTGTTATATACAAAATTTTCCTAAAATGGTCCGTATTCGCGAAATTTGACAAAATGTAAAAAAATATTTTTTTTTATAAAAATTGTTCAAACAAAAGTTGTTTGTAATATAATTCTCTATAATTTTTATCTTATACATAATTTCTCTAAAATGGACCGTATTCGAGATATTTGAGAAAATGTGTAAATTTCGAAATTTGAAGAAAACTCAAAAACGGATAAAGAAAAAAACATTAAATTTTAAACTTAAGTTTTATTTCGGCCTGACGTGAAATGATTAGATTTTGGACAAAGTCGGAACATCTGGGGGGGTACTTTATGGGAGGCCGTTTTTATATTTTATGGAATATATCTGTTATTTATGTTTGGAGAAAAAAATTGTTCAAATAAAAGTTACTTCTAATATTATTATCTATAATTTTTGCCTTATGTAAAAATTTCCTGAAATGGTCCGTATTCGAAAAATTTGACAAAATGTGCAAAATTCTGATTTTTATGAAAATTGTTGAAATAAAAGTTGTTTGCGATATCGATCTCTATAATATTTGTTCATACATGATTTTTTTAAAATGGACCGTAATGGAAAAATTGTAGGAAAAGTGCTAAATTTAAATTTTTCAGTATTTTAATTTTCAATGAATATCTATAGAAAAATGTTTCGCGGTAGATGTATGTGGACAATGTATATATTTAGTTTATCCTCTAAACATTTATAGAGATGCTGCAATAGGTTGTACAAAATAACCGGAAAAAGCCTGTAATAACTAGATAGGAAAGTCATGTGTTGGACACATCAGATTTTTTAATTAAAAATTATGTACAAAACCAAAAGTAGTATTCTCTAATCAATCACTTTATCATTTATTACTGTTTTTGAAATTGTAGGTAATGATTTTTGGAATCCGTCATACTTATTTTTGAAATTTCCATGCTAATTGTATATATTTCTAATTATACAAAAAATGCAGATATATTATCGGAATTTAAATAAAAACATTAGTGGTTTATATCCTCTCAACGCTTTGATCTGACCTTCCCTAGCGGAAGCAGGTATTGCATTAAAGGTACGGTCTCTTTTGGCCGAGCAGTCGAGACGTTTAGACGCGGCGTTTAATCGTGCCGATAGGTTAAATAGTGATATCATAATGATGGTCTGATTTAAGCGACAAGTCGATACACGTCGCCACAAGACGACGCGTCTTACGGCAAAATTGGTCATCAGGCAATTTAAACGCGCACGTTTATTTAATCGCCTGCTATTAATGCAAAATGAGCTCCAAAGGTAATAGGCTCAGATTCTCCAAATCGGAAGACGAAAAAGTAATTCAACGCATCCATCGTTATATAATTTACATCATAAATTATATAAGAACCAAAATGTATGGAATAATGTTTGGAAAGCAGTAGCAAAAAACATGGACCAAAGGATTTAGTAGAATTTTTTTGATACAATATTTAACAGTTCGGTATATTGACTTTTGGTAAGCCTAAAGTATTCTTTGAATTTAGTTTTGTCATCAATTAAATGTCTCATTATTAGCGTACTAAAGCACCCTTCCTTTCTTCTTTGAACAAACATTTTATGAACCTTTCTCCGCTTGTTTTGCAATAATGATAATAGCAAAATGTCATCGTCTTCTGCTTCTTCTATAAGCAACTGTGCTGCAATCACAAGTTTACTAGTAGTCATTTTTATCGAACGAAATAAAAAATACTGATTAGCGACTAGTCGATTACTTGAGGTGATGACGTAATCAGACCACTAGGTGCGATCAGGTGCGTCTAGACGTAAGCGATTGAGCGCCGCGTCTGAACGTCTAGACTACTCACCCAAAAGAGACCGTACCTTTAGAGACATTTTTGAGTAAAATACTTTAAAAACAGTATTAAATTTTCTACACATTATAGATGTATTTTTTTTATTATACTAATATTTTAACTATATAATTTATTTTAATTAATTTCTATCACTTTTCTAACACCTACCATCCTAATTTTAATAATTTAATCAGTAATATTTAAAAAATTCGTCAGTTCATGCCGATCATAAATGGACAAGAAATACTATATTAGGAAATAATTTACCTATTATCTTATCTATTGTAAATTATTTTAAAATATACACTTATGATAAACAAAAAACCTGAATAAAGATAAAATATTATAATACCCAAATTTGTTTTAAACAATGTACTCGGTACCCGAGTACATTTTTAATAAAGTACCTACAAGGAATAAAAGTATACAGGGTGTTTCCGAACTTGGCGTCCAAATTTGTAGGGGTGGTAGTTCGCATAATTTGAGACCGATTCGCAGATTTCATTTTTCCAAAATATTTAAAATAAAAATTATTAAAAATTAATTATTCAGGATTAAGGGATTCAGGGGACCCCAAAACGTAAAAATCCGTCGAAAACTGGAGGTCGAAAAAATCATGATTCCTATACTTTCCTTATCTGTATACAGATAGGAAAGTAAAAATATAAAGCTTTAATCAAAGCCAAAAAAAAAAAAAATATATTAAGAACGGTTAATTTCTCAATATTTTTTAAACATCAAAATAACAATAACTTTTTGACCAATCTAAGTAATAAAATCAAAGGTTTTGCCGAATAACCGAAATTTTAAGGCAACGCTCAATTAAACTGAATCGTTTTAAAAATCTATTTTAAAATGTTTTAACAAAAAATGCAGATTTTTTGCACAAATTCGTTTTTTTCATAAGATTAACTAGGTACTGTGGGATTTTTAGAAATATTCCCCGGACCAATTTTAATGTTTCCTGATTTGTTAAGGCTGATATGAATAACCATGGTCAATTCAACACATTAATAATACTAATTATTTAAAAATAATAAGATATTTTTCGTAATTGGAACGTCTATTATAAGTAAAGTCGGTAAATTTTAACAACTAAACAACTTGATGAAATGATGATTAAATATTTTGTATGCTGCTATGTAAGCTCATAATAAACAACGTAATTATGCTCCCCTAAAAAAATGCTAGCTGTGGCCACATTTTGTAAAAAACATGATATCCAATTTATCATAACAAGTTTTGGAATTTATTGAAAATTATTACATCTAATTTATGGAAATTATATATACAATTTGGTTAAAATTAATATAACTAATGTTTTAAAAATATTTGGTTTCAGTTGCAAGAAACTAGGTTAAATTATTTTAGCTTTTTTTAAGATATGTATACAATTTTGCAAACAAAATGAAAATAATGAAATAGGCATGAAAACAGCGTATATTATACCCTCTTGTGTCCCTTAGAATATGTCTTATTCAGGATCGCACGATATTTGTTTGTAGTCACATCTATTGTTATCTCTGTACTGATTCCACTGAGCCAAATTCTAAGGTTAATCTATTAAATGTATCTATGTAATTTAAACATAAATTATTGTATCAAAGATGAAGCTAAAAAATACTTTGAAATCAACAAAATCTAAAATGACTATGGGGCCAGATAATATTCCATCCTTTGTTTTGAAAAACTTCATTTTTTGCTCACCCCTTGAAATGTCTGTAATTTTGTTCTATCCCATCTGTATAATTCACTAATTGGTCGGACAAATACTCAAACCTCAGATGTTACCGGGTTGCGTTAGGCGCCACGGAACCATTGGGTTAATTGGGTTAATTAAATAATTTTATGTCGACAATACCAAATTTAATTTTGTCTAGGGAGGACCTGTTTTTTTTTTTGGCCTCTGTTAATCAACTTTCCTGTAATATATACGTTATTTTTATACAGTCCACTTTATTTAATTAAAAATTAAACGCCATCTTTCTGAAAATGCACGGTATAAAAAAATTGTGATAAATCATTGTGCATATCGTCCAATTTTCATTATAAGTAATTTATGTAAAGTGTTTCAGATTTTGAGTAACTTCAAAACAATATTAATCACGCCAGTTATATGATATCTATAGAACAACATGAATTTACGGAATACCGGTTCATCGTACCTAATCTTCTTGAAAACACCCAGAATAAATGTTCTGATATATTTTCAAATAAAAACCAAATTTGTATTTTCAATAAAATAAAATATCTCAAAAATAAAACCAAAATTCAAAAATATAAATGATTGAAATCAATTAGTATCAAATAAAATTGGAAGTTTCCAATATAAAAAATTTGTAGTCATAAATTTTTTATATTTAAATAACACAGGTTGGCGATAGTTAAAAAATTAAAAATCAAGCTTACCTTTTTTTTATTAAATACGGAAAAAAGCTAGTCTTTTGCGGATCAGTCAGGCTTACTATTGTTATGCAGATTTTATCTGCTGATGTCTTCTTATTGATCTGTAACAAAGATTCCAAGATTTGAGTTTTTATACCGGTTTTTCGAATTGGGCGTTTTAATTCGGTGATTTTATAAGAGTGGGGACTCGATGTTCATTAGCTAATCGTATATCTTTGCAAATTTCTATTGATATTGATAAAAAATACAGATAAAAAAAATACCGATTGGGGACTAGGCAATTGGCTTATGAAGAAATGGATTTCGGTAAAATTTCCTAAACAAGTCCTTACAAAAAGTTTAATATATTTTAACATTATAGGGTAATATTCAAAATAACAATATGGAAAACCCTGCTGTCCCTACTTGGATATTTAAACACAGGGTATATATATGTATATCCTAAATATTTAATTAGACATGAATTGGGACACAAACGTAAGCGATTTTGGATTTTTTTTTTAATTTCATAGAGAGAGTGATAGCATCTGATCTGCATGTCAAATGCTGCTGCCTTCTAAGTTTTAGAATAATTATTTGATAGGAAACCAAATGAGCTATTTTTTGCTCATAACACTTCACGTATGTCTCTGCTTTCAAAACGCTATCGATTTTTTGTATCTTTACATTTTTAAAATCAACATTACACTAGAACGAAGATATATAATGCTTGCCATTCTATATTATACTCTTCACAGTTTAATCTCAATCTTCAATCAAATTTTTTTCAGAATCAATACGCTTCATCCCCTTTTCCTGAATATTTCTATTGATATCGTTTTTTTTTTTATTTTTAAGATAGGCTTATAGAGCTTGATTTTTACTAAAGATCTCATGTTGATATCGTTTTTGGTGTTTGATTTCTATTTATTTTTATTAACCTCCCATTTCGTTCGCAAATTTTTTTTAAAATCAGTAAACATTGTCCCCTTATAGAGTTTGATTAAAAATTAAAACTTTCAAGTTGATCTTTTTTCGTTTCGGAGTTATGATTTTTCAACCCCCTCAACCCCTATTTTAATTTAGATTTTTTCAGAATCAGTAGGCTTTGACTTCTTATATAGTTTGATTTTTACTAAATATTTCATATTGATATCGCTTTTCGTTTTCGATATACGATTTTTTTTTAATTTCGCCCTCCTTAATCCTCCATTTTTAATCTAAGTTTTCAAAAATCAGTAGCCTTTGTCCCATTATAGAGCATGTTTTTTCCTAAAAATTTCAAGAATATATCATTTTTTTTGTTTTTGAGTTAGGATTTTTTTCAATATTTCAACCCCCCTCAACCCCTCATTTTAATTTAGATTTTTTCAGAATAGGCTTCATCTCCTTACAGACCTTGATTTTCAATAAATATTCGTTGTTGATATAGCTTTTCGTTTTTGATTTATGTTTTTTTTTTTTAATTTTAACCCCGTTAAATCAAAAGGGCTTCTTTCTTCCTCTTATATAGTTTGATTTATGCTAAAAATTTCAAGTCGATATCATTTTTTGTTGTCGAGTTAGAATTTTTTAAATATTTCAACTCCCTTAATCTTGATTTTTGCTAAAAATTTTAAGTTTATATCATTTTTGTTTTGAGTTAAGATTTTTTAATTTAGCAAAAAAAGTATTCTCCAAATTAATATCACGTTGAAATAGCTTTGGATTAAATAATTAAAATTATTACATTCTATATTCAAGGTGAGTCAAAAAGATGTTATTGTACCCAGCTAGCACAAAAACATCACATCTACGTTAATAAACTACAATTTTCTTTAAGCTCGCATACAATGTACTTTTAATGCAACCACCGAATATCCGCGACTGTAAGACTTTTATTGCACATCTCATAGAGGTTATAAAGTAAAGTTCGGAGAACATCACACTAGCAGTTTTACAGTGCTTACCCAGGAAAGTTGTTCTGAAACGTTTTATAGATGTTTAATGTGAATTAGTTCTACAAAAATATACAGTATGTCCACTTAAAAATTAAAAAACTAATTACTCATAATTTCTTTTACTAATTATATAAATACGATTCATGTTGAGAAGTTGTGATAAAATACTATTTTTTTAATTTAAAATAAATCCGTGGACACATTATATTGTAATAGCAAAATTTCAATGAGACATGCAAATTTCAAATAAAACAAAATAACAATTATATAATTTTTAATATTAAAATATTGTTAAAATCTATACTAATATCATAAAAGTAGACGTAGGTATTATTAAGATAGGTATATCACAAAGTAACGCTACTACACAAGTGCGATACTAACGGGTTCGAATAAGAGGTGTCTAATGTTTTTATTAAATAAAATAAAAACTAAATTAAAACTTTGTAGCAATAGGTAACATATTCGTATACAATTATATATAAAACACAATGTCGAGCAAATGGTCACAGCGACTTCTCTGGCAGGACACAACTCTTTTGCCATCATTTTAGATCACTGCTGAACACATTTTTGGTGGCGGATCGAATCTCATTTTGTAATTCTCGAATTGTTTGGGGATTTTTTACCCATGCTTTTTTTTTAATTTAATCCTACAAAAAAAGTTTAGCGGCGTTAGATCACATGATCTAGGTGGCCAGTTACCATCTTTATTTATTCTGGGTCAATTAGAGACATTGAGGCTCCTTCTCGAGCTAGTAAATCAGCCTCTTTGTTGCCCTTATGTCCTCTGTGGCCTGGTACTCAAGCTAAGGCTAGTCTGTTTTTTGACTAGCCAGCTCTGTTAGGGCTTCCCAAACATTCCCATACAAGCTTTGAGTGAACCTGCATGGAACTTTTGAGTACTTTTAACGTTGCTTGACTGTCAAGTATATGACAATGGTTTTTTCATTTACCTCTTTTGCGCAGTGATCTATTGCTGCTATTTCTGTCTGGAATACTGTCGCATGTTTATCTAAGCTCAGTGAGATTCTCGTCTTTGGCTTGGTATGATATATATATATATATATATACGAGCCCCTTCCCACTTCAGTTGGCCCACCTATTGATATTTTCATTATATTACTACAATAAGAAAGTATTAAAGATTACATGCTTTTTTAAATCCTAAATTAATTAACACTGCATCGATTTAGGATTATATTAGAACAAAAACTAGAAAACATCAACTTTTTTACTTATTTTTATATTTATTAACACATGGAGCATTATTGCAATATTTCAACTTGAATTCAATTCGTTAGAAAATAAGCCAGAATCAAAGGTAGCTATAAAAAAATAACAAACAATTAAGCATTCCAAACTGAATGACTACCAGTGGGTTTTGACGGGTTATGATATGGCAAAATTATGGCAACCCTGTAGGCCTGGTGATTTGACAAGGTCAATGAAATAGATAGTTACATAGATTGATCATCCATATTTTTCAAAATAAACATAAGCTTATGCCTTGAAGTAAAAATGTAAGCAATTATTTTTTTTTAAATATCTAAAGGCTAAAAATTGGTTTTAAAACACATTTTTGCTAAACCTATTCAAATTAATAAATATTTGCCAGGCAATATGGCCGCTCGTAAAGGACCAGCTTTGAGCAATTTATATAACTATATATGTATCACTGACCCTGTTAATGACAACATGACAACAGGGTTGCCATATCTAAACTGTCATTACCCCCTGGTAGCCATTTGGACAGGTTGTTGGAATGCCTAATAATGCAGATTACTGTCACAAGACAATTTAACCTCTTTTAAGCTAATTCTGTCTAGTAAAATGGTTAAAGGAAGAATCATTGACAAAAAATACGTTTTCTTGTTGTAAAACATTGCAATTCTGGAAAATCGAACTTGGAAATTGCAAATATATTAGATTTATCACGGTATAGTGTAAGACATATAGTTAGAAGATACAAAACTACTGGGTCAATCAGCCCAAAGCCCCGTCATATTAGAAAAAGCAAGATTACAAATGCTGATAGACGAGCATTCAGAAGAATTATTGAAACCAACCACCGTGCTTTTTACTTTCCTATCTGTATACAGATATAAGGAAAGTATAGGAATCATGATTTTTTTCGACCTCGAGTTTTCGACGGATTTTTACGTTTTGAGGTCCCCTGAATCCGTTTTGACTATTTTCGCGATGATGTCTGTGTGTGTGTGTGTGTGTCTGTGTGTCTGTGTGTCTGTGTGTCTGTGTGTGTGTGTGTGTGTGTGTGTGTGTGTGTGTGTGTGTGTGTGTGTGTGTGTGTGTGTCTGTATAACGCATAACTCATGAACCGATACACAGAAAAACACCAAATTTTAAACTTAAGCTTTGTTTCAGCGTCTAATGAGCTGATTAGATTTTGGGCAGAGTCGGAACATTTGGGGGGGTACTTTATAGGTGGTCATTTTTATATTTTATGGAATATATCTGTTATTTACGTTTGGAGAAGAAAATTTTTTAAATAAAAGTTACTTCTAATATTATTATCTATAATTTTTGTTCTATACAAAATTTTCCTAAAATGGTCCGTATTCGAGAAATTTGACAAAATGTAAAAAAAATATTTTTTTATTAAAATTGATCAAATAAAAGTTGTTTGTAATATAATTCTCTATAATTTTTATTCTCTACATAATTTCTCTAAAATGGACCGTATTCGAGATATTTGAGAAAATGTGTAAATTTCGAATTTTGAAGAAAACTCAAAAACGGATAAAGAAAAAAACATTAAATTTTAAACTTAAGGTTTATTTCGACCTGACGTGAAATGATTAGATTTTGGACAAAGTCGGAACATCTGGGGGGGTACTTTATGGGAGGCCGTTTTTATATTTTATGAAATATATCTGTTATTTATGTTTGGAGAGGAAAATTGTTCAAATAAAAGTTACTTCTAATATTATTATCTGTAATTTTTGTTTTATGTAAAAATTTCCTGAAATGGTCCGTATTCGAGAAATTTGACAAAATGTGCAAAATTCTGATTTTTATTATGAAAGTTTTTGAAATAAAAGTTGTTTGCGATATCGATCTCTATAATTTTTGTTTATACATGATTTTTCTAAAATGGACCGTAATGAAAAAATTGTAGGAAATTAAAATTTTTCAGTATTTTCGTTTTCCATGA